CCCAGTCCACCCCCTGACCCCCACGGATGGTAATGGTATGCAGAGTTATTAGTGAGGAACGGAGGGTGGGCTGCATAGTCTTGTGAGTCAGGTTGTGTTCTTGCTTGGTCGACAGAAGAGGCAGCTAAGTAAACACCCAACTGACTGACTGACTGACTGACTGACTGCCCTGTTTTCACAGAAGAAAACCGTATCTCTGACGTATTCATCAGATGTGCAGAGGCAGCTGTCACAGACTGAAGAGGTTCTCCTATCATTATTGAGAAGCAGGTACCTTTCCCAAGTTACTCTCCTCAATGTCTGGTGAAGGGAACACCAGCAGAGGCCCGGACACAAGTGCCACCCACCATGGTCAGGCATGCCTGGAAAAACTGGGTATTGGTTTAAAGTCAGAAAGTTGTTGCTGCTGCTACTCCTGCTACTCCTGCTCTCTTCTGCCGATGCTTCTGCGAGGACGCTTGTGTTGCCCCGCTACGATGATGACAACGCGGAGGAGGAGGGCGACGACAACTGAAGCTCCTCCTCCTCTTTAGTTAGGCTGCTGCTGCGGCCAACCCAACTTGCAATCATATCATGCCGTGGGGTCTCTTGAACTTCTTGTTATATGTGACATTAGTGGCTTGTAACATGCTCTACCTCGCAGGAAACACAATAAACCTTAAAGCCCAAAAGCATATAGCGACACCACAGACATCCTAAACCGCTACGCTAATAAATCCTCCATACATCTCTAAACCCTGACTTGCCAACATCCAGATTCCATGGTGCCCTTGGTTGATGAGATGCACAGACCATGCTTTTTGCTGTCCATCCAGCAGCAGCAGCAGCAGCCGCCCCAGCCTTAATCCTTAAACACTGAACCCTAGAAACTCCATTTCATGCCCACTTACTCTTCCATTTGATTCTCCAATACCTGATTGCAACTTGGGTTTTTCCCAACCGGCCTCTTCCTCGCACCCAGCCAGGGCGGCCGGCGAGCCTTTCACCACGCGGGAGATCTTCGGCACGGGGCTCCACCTCCGGAACCACATGGTGCTTGGTCAGGCATGAGGGATCAATCCATAAACTGATTCTTACATTACCTCACTACCTCTTAAAATGGCCCCTAAGACCAAATCCCTACTAAGCATCAGGAACTTGAAAGGGTTTGGGCCTAAAGGTTGAGGTGGTGTGCCAGCACTGATCAAGAGCCCTTCGGCCCCTAGAGTTTTGGGAATTTGGCAATGTAGGGGCGTCAAGAATTAGAACAGGTTGTGGGGCATATCGTGCAGGAGCCCTGGTAATGTTACCACTACCAGGTTCAGAGCGGCAACACTTCCGGCAGGATCATGCGGCAGGATGAGCGCAGAAATGCAGGACCCAAAGGATGATCTTTTCTAGCCGGCGACGTCAAAGAGATATCGAACGAACGAGGCCAACATCCCTCACTGGGGAATATTAAAACCTGGAACCTGTGGCCCGTGTAACTACGCAAGCAGACCATGACACGGTTCATGCTCAGCAGTGAATCCCGCGAAAAGTCTCCCGAGTCGTACGAAACCCCTACGAACCTCCTACAAAAGTCCTACGAAAGCCTGAATACCCTACATGCCCTACGAAAACCTTACGAAAGTCCTATACGCAAGCCCCACGAAAGCCCCACGAAAGTCTGACGAAAGTCCTACGAGAGCCAACAAGAGTCCTACGAAGTGCTACGAAAGTCATGCGAGCGCCCGACGAAAATCCTGCAAAAGTCCTACGAAAGTCCTACGAGAGCCTGACGAGAATCCTACGAAAGTTTTTGTAAAAACTGCAAACATTCGGATTCGTATGACTTTCGTAGGAGTTTCGCAACGTTTTCGCGGGGTTTTGTAGAATTTTCGTAGGATATTCGTATGGCTTTCGTAGGACTTGCGTAGGACTTGCGTAGGACTTGCGTAGGACTTTCGTAGGACTTTCGTAGGACTTTTGGCTTTTCCGCGGAACTGTCGTCGGACTCGCGTACGACTTTCGCAGCGTGTAGGACTTTCGTACATTCATCTCATCAAAAAGAATTCTGAAGCTTCGCTCAACCCAAAAAACGAAATTAAGTAGTTGAACACTAAAATTCTTTCATCCAGGATTTATCCACCCCACTATAAGCAATGATGTTCTGCCAACCCGTTACACCACTTCTTTTGCCAGCTGGTTTTCCATCTCCCCAAGCACCTAGATCTTACCACCCCTCCACGGCACGACCTTTGCCACCCCAGAATGCCATGATTTCATAGGTTTGGGACCATACGTTCCGATTGGAGCCTTAACATTACCATGGCCTCTACAAGGTATATCCCACAGAAATGACATAAGGCTCCTCAAGGATAGGTGCTGGTAATTCTCCTGCACCATGAAAATTCATGACTGCTGACAAATGGATGCTCAATCAAGGCGGCGTCTCATTGAAGACCGGACCATCCTATCATTCCAAATGGTGACCTTATGGATACCCCTACTACCCCCCCTATACTATACCCCTAGGTTCCCCCTGAATCCAAAATATTCCTTTTTGGGCTACTTAAGGGAGGAAGCTTAGTGGGTGCGGCTACTGGGGCTGGTAGGAGTACTGAACCCTCCAAAGTATAAACCTACAAATAAGCCTTAACCCTAAAGCCTAAAACCTGAGCCCTAGACTTAGACCCCAAACATGACAGCGAGCAAAATTGAAGCTCATCCTGCATCTTGCTCCCAAGGCACTCAATCACAGCCCCACCCAGGTCGTCACAGGCCGTACCCGTCCTGAAACATGCAGAAACCTCAGAACCTAGAATCATACTTCTGTAGCAACTGCGAGGTTTTGTGTTTCTGTCACGTTATCACGTCATAAACCCAAAAACTTGGAGGATTGTTCTCTAACAGAAAATAATTTCAACAAAGGCTGCACGAGGCCAAAACGGTTGAAAACTAGAGCTTGCGGTCCTTCACTACCTTCCCTGAAGCCCCAGGCCCGCCCACATGAGGTTGCCACAGTGTTTGCCAAGTTCGGAACGAGCCCTACATGGTATTTATCATGGCAAGTGAGACTGCAAGCGCAGTGCCCCAGCTCCACCAGACGACCATACTCTCCAGGATTTTCGATCATGTACGGGCTTGTTTGGAATCTTCTTACTACTTGTTCAGACTTCTACTTTACTTGGGGTGGCATGGCGACATCATGCTGCGAGGATCTTACTGGTGCGTCTAGCTGATTCAAGACGATTTCTGGCATGAGTCCTTCTATCCATATGCTTTGCATGAGCCAGAGTATGATCGTGTATCAGATTTGTAGAGGTTACGCATTAGAGCGTCAATGCTCGTTAGTAAGGCATCTGAATTCTGGAGTCTCGGTTCTTTCGTGTTCAGGAAGGCTTTTCCATTGCGCCAAGCTCTGACCAGCATGCAAGCAAATTAGGTACCCACAGCGGCAGCTGGCACAGTTTCAGATGTTGAGAATTCAAGGTGCTTGCAGTGTCTTGGTATGCTGATGGTTAGTAGCGAGTGGAACGGGGATTCCTGTACTAGTTCAGTGACCACCAGCAAATTCGGCTTTGAGATTTTGGGTGTGCTTGGGCTGAGGTCTTGTCGCGGTAAAAAGAAGTTTGCCTAAGCTACTGCATCCAAGCAAGGGACACTGAAATGCTTCCATTCTCCAGCACATTCTGCGCATCATGGCCTCAGAAGCAGAAAGGCTTAATCCCCTCCCCAAATGGTAAAGACTCCCAGCCCCTCCAAGAATAAGGAAGCCTTTTCTACAGTGGTACTCAATTGGGAATATGTGTTACATGGGCAGGGGAGTTCTTGCTCTTCCCCAGGCTAAGATGCAACCCCATACAGCCTCTCTGCAGACAGTAGAAAGCGTGCAGTCCTACTATTTTGTGGTTTAATGTTAGTTTGGAGATGGTAGGAGGAAGCATAAAAAACTGAATTCCACCCGTCTTCCCTACAACCTGCAAAACGCTCGGAAGGCAGGGGGTTAAGCGGGCTTGACACAGAATATGTCTTAAGTACCTGCTGATACCCTAATCTCATCACGTAAATAGTAATGATACTAATCATCACAATGAGATGAATTATAATACCATAGCAGAACAAAAAAAATACAAGTAGTACTAATGATTGTAATAGTAAAAAAACATGCATCAACTGCATTGATCCTCCGCATTGTGAGATGGGATCCCCGTGTCAAACTTGCCAGAAAACCTCCGTGCTCTGTGCCGTTAAACCGTCTATGTTCTATATACGCCTTGTTATAACCCCCAAAAAATGCCACTAATACCATAGAGGGACCTCCCTTCTATAAGCCGTATTTGCAGTTGATGTAGCCAAGCGGCGCACAGCGTCCAAGAAGCCCCGGAGACAAGATCCCTCCAACCTTTGCTACGGAAGCATGGGGACCCTACATCTCCGTTGAAGCTTTATGGAAACATACCATGGTCAAAAGTATTAAATGCGCTTGACTGTGACCCCCCGGTGGCCCTGTGGCTGTGATCAGGGTCTTGTGGCTTGGAAGTTCATACAGGGTTGTCGATGGTTCATAACCCCCCGGCAAGACAGCCGTCGTCAAGGAAGGCAAGGGTAAGTTCGGGCTGTTGTCCTGAGACACCTGCGGCGGCTGCTTGGAGAGCAGGGCGCAAGGCTAAAGCAAACAGCAAGGAGCCAAGAGGGTCACCCTGTTGGACGCCCGCTTCTGAGGAAAGGGGGAGTGGTGGAAGAGGAGCCGGGAATGATGGTCGTAGCACCATTCCGCCCACGGCGCGAGACCTGGCATGTGGAGGCGGACTTGGCGGAGCATTGCAGCCCGATCTATTGAAAGCGTTGCGGAAGTCCACTTGCAGGAAACATTTGTCGACATGGCCTGCGTTGCGCTGCATCCATTCCCTGGCCGCGTGGATGGTAGTTTCAGCTCCAAGGGGGATGGCCACGCCAACCTGAAGAGGCCAGAGATGTTGGGCAGCAGGCTCACGCAACGCGCCGCAAAGAGGCATTTGCCAGCAAGGTGACGCCAGGTTGACCAAACAGCAATGGGGCGAAGGTCGTCGGCCTCCTTGGCCGGTGGGGCCAGGAGCGCTGCCGCGCTTGAAGCCGCGCACCGCCCGGAGGAAATCTCAGGCACGTCGGCCCGTGGTGGTGGACCCAGCGACTGCAAACCCGGGCGTGCAGGGGGGGCATGCGGGTGCTTATCCTGAAGGGCCGTGGCAATTTCGGCCGAGTCGGCCAGCAGTGGCGGGTCAACCAAAACAGCACAGGCGCGAGAAAGGTCGGCCTCGGCGGCCGGGTGCTACCCGGCCTACTGCTCTTACTCCTACCCTACTCCTACTGCTACTACGCCACTACTTCTACTACTGCTACTACTGCTACCACTGCTACTCCTGCTACTGCTGCTACTACTGCTGTTGAGTCGAATCTTCGCCCAAGCAACGGCATGCTCTGCGCAGGCATGGACCCCGCCTCGGCAGAGGCGTCCGCCTCCGCCTCAGGCGGACCGGCGTCCTCTGCCACAGTTGCCAGCTTCGCCTGAAGGGGATCGTTTTGAGATGGACACTCATCTTGCTGGTGGTTAGTACGGAATAAGGGAATATAATCCCTATATATGGGATTCCCAATTGGGGGGCCCAATAGTGAGGACTATAGTATTGGGGATTTTATGTTGGGGTTCCCTTATTTTGGGATACTACTATATGATATAATCCCTATTTCCCTACTAACCCCCAGTAAGCCGCTGTGAAATGTAGGACCGTCAAGAGCTGGAGCTCAATCTGCCAGGCTGCAATGTGGCAGGCACCATGAACCACTCCGATATTAGAAAGGGCTGATGGAACAAAGGTCTTTTGGTCTACGGTTTTGGAATGCTGGACTTGTGTTCCTTGCATGTCTGGAGCCTAACAGATGAAGATAGTTGTGGCTGAAGTGCACAGAGCTCAGGACCTGGGGCCACAGCATACCTACAGCAACCAATGGCGCTTTGCTTACTTGAACAGAAACTTCACCATGACGAAAGACTCGTGAAAACAATCATGGCCTCAGTGCTCAGCTCAGCCATGAGTGAACAGCTTTGTGTGGAACAGGGACCCACAAGATTTGGAAACTACCCTGAACATCTCTGTCACGCAGACTTGGATCCGTTACCTGCGGGCCATAGTCAAGGCAGACAAGTGCTCTGAGAGCCAGGCCATGCGTACCACTCATTTCAAGCAGTGAACCCCACTACTACAAGCTACGAATTCCACCAACATGTAGAAATATTGATTCCTAGAAAACCCTAAACCAAAAGCCATGGTCCCTGGAGAGCACGTGAACCCCACGTAAACCCTCTACACCCTCTGAAACCTCAAAATCCCTAAAAACTAAACCCTCGAAACCCTGAACCCTAAGCCTTACAGCTGCTCGCCTCCATCATGTCGGCAGCAGAGCTTTGGCCAGGCTGAAAAGGATGAGCCTCGAGGCCCAAGTAAGAGCAGGGTTAACGCATTCTACTTCGGGGTCAGGGAGACTTCGTAACTGTACTTCTAACCCCCATACAACATGTACTAATACCAACTATTCCCAGCAGTAACCTACGTACTGGGTCCCCCTTCCCCTGAAGTTGTAGTTGGAGGGCTGGTAGATTGGAAGCAGTCAGAGAGCTGAGCTTGCAAGAACCGAAAGGGGATTGCGTAAACTTCAATCCTGAACTTTGATGCTGCGAATTTCGTCTGTGTTCTACGGGCCGTAACATGTGCTGATGACTTCTACAAATTGCGCTTCTGCCCTGGCATTTGCTTACACTTGGCAGGTGATGGGGTTCAGGGTTTAGGGGAAATTTCAGATTTTGTGGAGGTTTAGTGGGGTGAATTCAACACGGCCTGTTTACAGATACGGGCTATAGGGGATACATAAGGTTCAGGGCTTAAGAACAAAAAAGGATCGGTAGCCCGATCCTACAACGAGGACCCTATGAGAGCCGAATATAGCCAAATGATTGTCATCGTCCTAGGGTCCTAATTGTAACGCTTGGGGTAACCAGAATCCCTGAAGTACTGCAGGCTCTAGGGTTTGGGATTTACCCTGTTCGGGGTTTAGGGCTTAGGTTCCAGGACCTAGGGTCCGGAATGAAAAATCTAGGCCGTAGAGTCTAAAAGTACAATTACAAGTGATAGTCGTCGTCGTCGTCGTCGTCGTCGTCGTCCGTCGTTGTCGTCCGTCGTCGTCGTCATCGTCGTCCGCCGGGTCGTCGCGTGCGTCTTCGTCTTCCTCGTCGTCGTTGTCGTCGTCATCACAGTAGTACTGCTAGTAGTAGTAGTAGTAGTAGTAGTAGTAGCAGTAGCAGTAGCAGTAGCAGTAGCAGTAGCAGTAGCAGTAGCGGTAGCGGTAGCAGTAGCAGTAGCAGTAGTAATAGTAGTAGTGGTGGCAGAAGTAGTAGTAGTAGTAGTAGTAGTAGTAGTACGAAGAAGAAGAGCAGCAGCAGCAGCAGCAGCAGTACTGCTACTACTACTGCTACTACTGCTGCTACTGCTACTGCTAGTTGCTATTGCTACTGCTACGACTACGATGACCACAACGACGACGAGGCCAGGATGAGCCTGCAGATGCCGCGCATAGTCCGTTTGCAACCCAGAACTTGACCCCCAAATGCTGGCGCCGGCACAGAGGCTTTGAACCTCCAAAGCTGAACCCTGAACCCCGAAACCACAAACCCTAAACCATAACTGTCCCCGAAATCATGAAATGCGGCCAGCCGCGGGAAAGTAGCTCGGAGCGCATGCGCACTAGCATAACTCCCGCAATCTTATGGCAACTGAAACCATCCCCATTGCAGGACTATGGGGGCCCCCGAGATTCTGAAGGTACAGACCAGATTTCTCCAACATCCCTGGAATCCTGGTAGAAGCTGTGCCTCCTGCAGGCCGTGATGAACTGGAAAACCCGCGGAACTTCTAGCCATTCGAGCTCTATTAGCCCTAAAGCATGAGCCCAAAGCCCTATACCGTGCTTTCAGAAATTTGGAAGAACAGGATGGGCCTCGAGGCCCAAAGTGTGGCAAATGTCACTGCAAACATGGCTGGCGAAGAACATATCCATGCCTCCAGCATGGGGATGACGGTCAGGAATTTAGGGCTTAGAGTCCCTAAACCCTGTACCCTGAACCCTGGACCGCATAGCCGTGGTCAGGGTTAATGGTCTTGGGGGTCCCCGAGGCTTGGCATCGGAGCAGAAGTGCACGACTTACGGGAAAAGTGTAGAGGTCCCTCACAAGGCCTAGATAAATGCGTATGTGTATATATACATATATATGGTTTAGGGTTTAGGATTCAATCCGTATTATAAGAACCCCAAGAAGGCGCCCCTAATTTTGGGAAACCTCCAAATAGTACGTTGATATACTCCCATGCGCAGAACCGACCAGCAGAAGGTAGAACACCTAAGGTCGCTTCGGGGGGGCGAACAAAGGACAAGAGATTATTGGGATTGCGACTTGTGATTCTGCGGTGGCTGCTGTCGTAATCCATTTCCTCCCCCTGTAATACGTTTAGGCCTTGAGGTTGAGAGTCCAGTCTCAAAGCAAAACCTTCCTCAACGTGGTACCTGTCTCTATAGACCATAAGCTCCTGAATTCAAGAACCTCCTGGGCATTGTGAGACTTATCCTCCTACACACCGCGCTTAACATCAACAGACTCATACCAACCGTCTTGACAGCTCCAAACCGGGTGCCCGCAACCCAACGCCCCCCCCACCCCCCACTCACCGCGGTACCCAGACATCCTTTGACTCACTCCAAAAGCGCAAGACCAACCTCTAAATCCATTGGCTCCAAAACTCCTAAAACGAAAACTCCAGCACCCATAAACCCGTCAATCCCATAACTTCTCTTCCACCCTAGATTGAAACCCCCAACTGTACAACCCTCACCCACCCTGAGAAAGAAATGCTGAATTTCCTGGCGCCACAGAAATTGATCTGCGAAGATAAAGCAGCTTCTACACACCCCAAGAAGCTTAGGTTCTCAACCACCTAGTAGCAGGATCTGAAATGCAAACCTCCTTGGATACAGTTTCAGACTGGGCTACAGGAGGTTCCAGTATACCCCTGAACCTTAAGCCCTTTGTTACATCTGGGCCCTGTAGGCGGCTAGATGTCCAATAAATGGGAATCCTCCAAACAGAAACCTTCCTCAGTCAGTACTCACCTGCCTTTGGTCCTCAAGTTGCCACGACCGAAACGGTTCACATCCTCTGTTCAGTGAGATGATCAGTGTTGGGAGGCACTCTTAAAACGGGTTCTCGGGATACAGAAGGTAGACAGGGGTTGAGGGCTTAGGGCATTTGGGTGCGCTCGGATAGCAGGGTTTGCCGCTTCAAAGCTCTACACGTCCTTGGGCATGGGGTGTAAGACGGGCAGTAGGCTTGGGATTTTCCAAATAATTGATACTCAATTTATCTTTTTTTGTGCGCTTTGGTGATGTTCCTCCAGTTTCAAAAAATGTCTCTTGTGATTTGATCTCAGTCGGGTGGCCCCGAACAAGTACCCGGCATCTCCATGGCAGTGCTTTAAGCTTTCTGCGGCTCAATCGCTTCAAGAACTACGTTTGATACTGCAAATCCCGAATGATTTTAGGGTACTGGACCCTCACAAGTCTGAAGCTACGGCCCACCGCGCCAGCCAGAAGCTCACGATCTCTAACCTCAACGTTCGGAACCCTCAAACGTAGCATCCGAAAACCGATGCCCAAAGCACTAAACCTGAAAGCTGTGTCCTCCGAGTGGATTTGGGGATCTGTCAGCGTGGTCTGAACCCCCTGAATGTCACTCACCAGCACGTCCCCACCGCCTTTGGCTGGGGCTGGGCTCAGGTTTGGAAGTTCAGATTCGGGAGGCTAGGCCCAACCAATGCGATCCCCGAGTCCAACAGGATGAGAATTAAATCGATTCTGATTGCCAGATTTGTTGTGCAACCGCAACTCGGAATCAATGAAGTGATGCAAACTAGAGAACTCGGGTTTTGCGGATGGGATTGAGACTGCTGCTGCTACCGATAAATACAGGTACTGCGAAGACTGCTCGCTCTACAACTTGCAGAGCTTTTCATTCCTGGTCAGAACCATCCCGCCTTTGCCTTTCCTGTTCTGAAAACCATGAATGCCCCAGTCTACATGCCCCTTCCTAACTTAACCCCTTACCCCTCACCAATGTTTGTCTGGGACTGGGAGGGTACTGTAGGGTCTGTTGGGAAGGAGGTTGCAGGAATCATCTCACCCCGGTTGCCCTACAACTCCAGAAACCTTAGCCCTGACCCCCAACTTCTGTGAACCCTAAATCCTCAACCTCAAGCACAAAACTCCCAACCTGAACCCTTTACACCTTGCCTTGACCTGGTAATTTACCAAAATGGGGGGACCCCAATATAGACCCCAAAATACTATAGTCCTTATTATTGGGACCCCCAAAATGGCACCCCTAATTTTGAGAAACCCCTACTTGTGACATTCCGAGTCGCTCTTCTGAAACGTGTAATGGGAGAAAGCCTGGGCCACGTCCGAGTCAGCGGCAATGTGCCCAGCGTTCGAGGTATACTTGGCGTACTTCCCGGGAATCCAGGGCTCCTCTGGTTTTTTCTTTTTTTACAGGACCTTTTCTCCATGGCATGACGTCCACGAAGATGCATTACTGCACGGCCCAGGGCTCCTCTGGTTTGGGGTTTAGGATTTAGGGCTTTTAGTGTGTCCCTTGGTTCAAACCACAAGTGAAAGGCATGAACTGCAAGAATGACCACCCAGTACCCCAAGAACCAAGAAGTTTGTGAAATCAAAAAATAGCTCCTGTCGGTTCATCAAGGTGAAACGCACAGCATTCAAGGAGATCTGAATTGGGGTATGGGGTTTAGGCACCCCTGCACACTACCATGGAAAGGCAAACCTTCAGTGCCTTCAGGTGGTAAAGGGAAGCAGGAGAGTTCACTAGACGAGGCAGCTTCCAGAAATCAGAGAGCGAATTCTGAAGAGTCGAGAAACAGGCACCTGAGATGTTGGGTGTGCTTCTTTGGGCCCCACCTTTCAAACACTACCACAGCTGGTTAGCTAGCTGGTGCAACAAAGCTGGATGCTTACTGAGCCATTTGGAGGTATTTCAGCTTCGTACGCGGTAGGCACATTACGAAATATGAGGATTATAAGTGATTGCAATTCTGGGAGACTGTACGTAGTAGGATATAGACTGACTCTGGCTTGGGTTCAACCTTACACAGGTTTCAGACCGTCCCAGAATTCCGTCAACACATAATTGTTTCCGCCAGGAATGACCCAGAATTCCGGTCCAGCGCCATGTACTTGAACGGGAGCCCGCTGGCCCTGGATTGCAGCACCAGCAACTGAGCTTGCACGAACTCGATGGGGGTCTCCTCGGGTTCGGTTTGCATCCAAGCACTGTACGGATAAATTCATGAGATCAAAGGCTCCTACGATATTAACGGATACACTGTTACTGGCAACCTAGCAGAGACTGCAGACCCGAGGCTTGCTGACACCAACTTGGGGATGTGACTGGCTTGGAGTACCGGTTCCAGACTTGCCTGTGTGCTTCCAAAGCCGTCATGGATGCAAAGACCACATGTTTACATGTGAATCTTAGAGACTGCCAAAGAAAAACCACCTACGTACCCAGGAAGCCACCGGGCTAGCGGCGGGATACTCGATGCTGAATTCCTTGGCCAAGAATTGCGCAACTGCCTCGAGGGGTGCAAGAATGACCTGCTTAGCAATGCCCAAAAGCGGCATCATATCGTGGAGTACTGGCAGTATGCCTCCTCCTTCTCCCACCGCCACCACCACCATCACCAACACACCACCCGCAGCCGCCCTACTCGCCACGACAAGGGCCCCAGCAGCATGACCGCGACTCACACCGCTGCCGCCACTGCAAACGCCACCGCTACCACCTGCAAAACCACCTCTTGCGGTGCAAAGTGACAAACAAACGTGCACTGCCTCAACCCTACCTGTCCCTCCAATCAGAACTTTCAGGATGATACTTGGAGAAAGTCCAAACCTGCAGCACCCGTACGAGCCTACGTACGAATACAATTGGAAGCTGCATCAATGGTGAGCACAGGCCGTTCCTGTCTTAAACCCTTTAGGCAGAAGCTGTGCCTGCGAATTCATGTCGCCTTCGTAGGTTGCCTTGCACTGGTAAGCTTCATCGTCGAACTGGTACACTTTGCCCACCTGGGTAATGGGCAAGCTGATGGTGCAAAATCCATTCAGAGTTGCAATGAGGTTCTTGATGATCGCACTGTCGCAATCTATCAGCTACCCAAGCCCTTGGCTAAACTGTTTGGCTAACCTGTCCAGTTGCAGTACGGGGGTCCAACATGTTCGGTACCCTTAGGGCTTTGTCAAGGGCAGCAACACTTCTGCAATCCCTACTATTTCCATGCCCCATGAGTCATGCCTACAATGCCTAAAGAATATGCCGCATTCCTTACCACATCCCGCCGCGCCATGCAGCGTGAAATCCTAGGTTCAGATGAGGCTCATGGTTCACAGCTGAGGGAAGCTTGGATTCAACAAACAAAAGGTTCCTAGCTCTTATTCGGGCAACTCACTAGATTTCCTAAACTTATGCCGTAATAATTCTGATGGGGCGGGATCAATTCCTTCTGGGGGGATGGGCTAACTAGAAAACCAACAAATTCTCAACGCTGAGTTTTAATCTCTTCCCCTCGAACCCTGAACCCTACACTACCACCTCTGCTTTTCAATTGGATGCTCTAACCAAAAACTCAGCTCCACCTGCTTCGTCTCTGGGTGATCCTGGTCCACAACGTAGAAAGCGAAGCGCATGGCACCCTTTCCTTGCTTGTTGTATCGTGGAAGGAAATCTATAGTCCCCATTGCTGGGGTCCCTCTGCTCAAGAAAAAACATTCATTCAATGGTACGGAGAGACCTCAATATATGTCAAGAAGTTTATGTGTTAAGCCGATTGGGTACATGTAACCAGGGCTAAACCCTCGGAGACATTGTCAAGTTGGCGGTCCGCCAGAACCCAACATAGAGAGAGAAGCCAGCTCCACTTCCAGGCTTGTGACCAGGTTTGTTAGGGATTATATTATGGTTATATTGGGATAATGGAAAAGAAAACGGAAGCTGCTATTTAGGGTTTAGAGTTTGGCCAGGATCTAAGTTTTTCTCAACGTTGAGCAAAGACTTTCAAATTCCAAAACGTGGAACAAGGCCTTCTTCCACCAACATGTCAACCCCAACTATCCTAAAAACCAAGTATCCCATCCAATCTGATTAAATCCGACCCATACAAACCTAAAATCACATATCGCCTGAAAACCCTGCTTAGAAGTTGAAAAAAAATCGTTATGGATTGGGTTATAAGCATGCTAACCACAAAAAGGGGACTTAAAGGCCCGTTTACAGCCTAGTTACACAAAGTCCTCTGAGCCTTCCAGGAAATCCTGCCTATCCCGTACACAACTTCAAACGGATCCCTACCTGACCCAGCTTCCGAAGGGGGCAGGACAAATTGCCACACGGCAGTCGCGCGAGGTCTTGTGCGCGGGCTCGTCAAGGTCATCCATCTTGCAATCCGCGGAACCCAGACTAAGGGTTTAGGGTTTGGCTTACTGTAAGGTTCAGGGTTTAAGGTTGGAGGTATGGGGCCCTGATAAGGGCTCTTAGCCTGTTTAAAGGCATTCTACAGAACCTGAGTTGAGTGTCACGGTACGTCGCAAGTTGAGGAACGCGGGATTTTATGCTTTAGGGATCACCGTTGCATTTCGGCATAGGGGCTTGGGCCTGGGAATTAGGATGTGGTCTGGGGCTGTCATGTCCGGGGTCTTGTAGTACCAGGGAGAACATTTGCAGGTGCAAGCTTTAAGGGATCGAGGGGCTCAAGGCTTGGATTTCCTAATGTCCCTGCCCTGTCGTTTGTGCATGTCTCTTGCCTGTGGTTCATGCATATCCCTCATGATGGTTCCAGATCTAGCCAAGTTGGCCACTAACGAGGCTGGCCAGTGGTGCGTCCCCAATTTTCAGAATGCAGAGTTTATTTCCTACGCCAGCAGAGGCCTCGTAGGAGGTAAGACACGCTTCGACGCTGATCCATTGGTCGCACCGAGACCAGTCCTCAGTAAATGAGCATCTCGGATTGCGCGCGTCGGCTCTTTTTTTCCCATGGATACATCTCAAAAACCATGTAGACTGTGACAGGAACTATGATTCCGGTAACATGGCCGCATGACGCCTAGCATCTGTGGGCACAGGACTGAAGTTCAGGGTTACGGTTTGAGATTGGAAGCAATGGATTGTATCTGATCAGGCGACGGAGGTTATGACCTTCGGGCACGAGGTGGAGAACGCAATTAGATCCAAGTTCGCGTGCCCTGTATAAAGTTTTATCCGACTGGGTTGCTGTTAGGGAACTTAAGTTAGGTCACCTTACTATGTAGACGTACAGGGGAGCATCGCCTCATTCCTGTGTTAACTTAACTTAGATCCCTAACAGCAACCCAGCATATCATGACATGCCTGGAACCAAACGATCCGTGTCTGCTTCAACACCTTGAGAAAATGGGATTGAATAATACTTCGACTCATAGCCAACCCACTTGCTAAATCCAGCAAAACCAAAGTTTCTGGGTACTATGTCCACATCACGGTGACTTAACTTAAGGTCCTCAACAGCAAACCCCCAAACATCCCAAGCCCATGTTTCTTCCAGGCGCTGGAGGCGTCTCACAAATCTCTAGCGGGAGCATCTTTGCCTGGCACAGTGGGAGTTTCTCAAGAGGGGGCCCCCAGGGACCCCCAGGGATACATAGGGTGTATCAAGGGATTATGAATGGTCCCCATTAGGGGATTGTATAAAAACGATTTTGAGAAATGTCCATGGCTTTGGATTGAAAAGCTTCGGAGTTTGAGTGAGCTACGCAAAGATCTTGTTCCAATACTCCTTGCGCCGCACTTGAAACGCACACTGGCGTGAAAGCAACTGCACGAGGAGGCAGACGGAACAGCTGGCAATCCTTCCAGCTACATTGGCACATACCTTGCACAAGAAGAAACTTCCGAAAGATCCACATTACAAATGTTGGCTGTTCAGCTGTTAAACACTGCTCAAGCACCTCAAACTTGCAGGAACCTGGACTTCAGAGAGCGTGAAGATCTCAACATTTTGCTAGCAAGCCCCAAGAAACTTCACATAATGCTGAACAAAATCCTGCAAGTCCCCTCGGACTCCTTCAACGGAATGCCAAGGGAACCCAAAGCCATCGATAGCCTGCACTACAGATCCGCAAACCCTAACTAACCCCAAAGTTCCAGCACTCGTGGTGATGGCGGAAATCCTGCAGAGCCTCAAACGCCTGAGATCTTGAGATTCACAATACTTCAAAAACCCTAGGTGGCGCAAGATTTCTTCCATCAACAGTATATTCCAAGCGCAAGTCTCCAATTTATGTTTCATCCAAATTTCAAATGCTTCTCAAACGCCCACGGCCTGCGTGGAACCCAAGAATCCCATGCACCGTATATGCTCTTTGTACCCCAGACACTCTACAAGCCCTACATACCTTCTCTAGTGAACCCTGTCATAAAGGGTTTCAGGCTTGTACCCCTAGGGTTGTACCCCTGGGTTCAGGAATCCTTTTACGGGACTCGGGGGGACTACATTGGCTCATATAAGGGATAGTCTAGGGCTATATTGGGGAAACTTTTCCCTCTTAAAAAGGCGTCAAGTCACGGGCCGAACGCCCGACCGGCTGAGCCGCGAGAGGCTTGCGCTAAAGCTCGCGGAAGAGGTGCTGGAGACCACATTCCGAAACAGCCTAGGGTTTAGGAGCTTGAGAGTTTAGAGTTTCGAGTTTTGATGTTGAGGGTGTTGAGCTTTGTGTTTGGGATTTAAAGTTTTGGGCTTCGATGCTGAAGAGTTTGGGTTCGGGCTTTAAGCTTTGTTGTTGCGGTTTTAGAGTTTCGACTTTTGATGTTGGGGGTTTTGAGCCTTGTTTTGGATGCAGGGTTTCGAGCTGTGACGCTTAGAGTTTTGGGGTTTGAGCTTTGATGATGTGGCTGTCGGGCTTTGAGCTTTGATGTTTTGGGTTTTGGGTGTTCAGCTGCGATGTTTTTGGGATTTAGGGTTTTGAGCTTTGATGTTTTTTCAGTTTAAAGTGTTGAGTTTTGATGTTTTGGATTTAAAGCTTTGAGCTTTGAAGCTTAAGAGTTTCGGGTTTTGAGCTGAGCTTTGACGTTTTGGGTTTTGGGTATTGAGCATTTTATGTTTTATCTTTGTTGATGCGGGTTTCTGGTTTTGAGCTTTGATGCTCGTTTAAACTTTGATGCTTTGAGATTTAGACTTTGGGGTTCAGGATTTGGAGCTTTCATGTGCGGGTTTAAGCTTTTGAGCTTTGACATGTTACGTTTAAGGTTGAGTGGTGGGTTGGGAGTTTCGAGCTTTGATGCTCAGGTTGTGGTGTTGAGCTTTGACGTCGCTGAAGGGTTTTTTGAGCTTTGACAGACATTGTGGGTTCGAGGTCTTTTGGGCTTTGACGTTGCGGGCAAGGGTTTGGGGTATGGGGTTTAGGCTTCTGGGCTTTGATGTTGCAGGTTCAAGTTTTGGGGCGTTCATGTTTGAGGTATTCGGCTTAAATGCGTTAAGTTTTCGTGTTCTGGGCTTGCGGTATGGAGCTTTGATGTTGTGGGTTTAGGGAATTGGTGATTGATGCTTTCAGTTTAGGGTTTTGAGCTTGGATGTTGCGTTTTTTTTTGGGATTTGGGTTTAGAGCTTCAGGGTGTACAGCTGAGTGGTTGGGTTGAGAGTTTCAGGCGGGGTGTTCGGGGATTGAAATGACACAAGAGTTCTGCCAAAGACTTACGGCTACGACAGGACGTGATCAGTTTCACGGAATTTCCCGAACTTGACAAGATTCTTCAAACCATCGCCTCTTCATATTTCAGCTGGCTTTGCAGGATTGCATTCTGACAGCTGCAACCTTCTGAAAGGCCTGCTGGGGCTTGAGGGAGCGCACAGCATGCTAATCTTGGGTACCAGTCACCTGGGTTGCTGTTAAGGAACTCAAATTTAGTTACCATGAGCATGCATAGTAATTAGTAGGGTTTCCCAGATATAGTAACTTACATTTAGTCCCGTAACAGCAACCCAGCCAAAATAATCTCAATCTGAACAGCTCAGGCTTTCTGGCTTCCGGATTTCCAGTGCGCTGGCAAGGAGGTTCTCGGCGCTTTAGGAGGGACAACCCTGTAGTATGACCCATAAGGACAGTTATAGTTTCTGATGCGGGGCAACATGAAGACTCCAAGGAACATGAGTGCTAGCGATCAGTCAGTTTTGTTAATTTATTGATCTTGACGCCCCTTACGCCTTTCTGATGAGCTCACCTCCTCCCAATGCTGCCCATATAACTCCCATCCCCAGAATGACTGCCCCAGGAACCTGTTTGGGTACCTGAAGTTACGTAAGCTTTCATGTGAGTTCAATGAATGTGCGCCGACCAATAATGAGCCCTTGATGAAATCTCAGAAGGGATGTCCACAGATATTTGAAATTAAAGATCCTTGAACACATTTTAAACTCGGCAACAGCCTTCGTAAACATGCTACCAGTAAAGGAATGGAAATATTCTTTGAAATCTGACTCTGACACCCTATCTCACCGGATTCACGTTGGACATCCATGGCGTGGTTGCTGCTCTTTGTAGCCTTTGCCAGCACTCCCTGAAACTGCCTACCTAGGCCTCTTGAAACCCCCCCCTTAGGCACATGCTAACCAAACACCGCACGTTGAACCACTAGGGCCTTCGCCCCCTGTTGAACCCCTAAACCTCCTGAACAATTTCTAGAAGTGCCCGATGCAACTTCCGGGACCCTAAAATCTTTCCCTAAACCGCAAACATCTGGTTCTTGAAGCCTAAACCTTTTTGCAGCAGCCTTGTTGGGTTCCATCTCAAAACCCTAAAACCTAAAACCTTGCCAAGGGGCTTCACATCCCTGTCCAGAGCGAAGACCTTCATCAGCCAGGGGTCGTCGGCACATCTCTGGTACTCCTGTCAGTATGTCTGGGATTTAGGTTTGTATATGGGCCCTTTAGAGGGTATAGGGTTTAGGTTATAAATAGAGTGATGTAGGCTTATATAGAGGTTATAATTATGCATGATGATAGCAAGTTATCAAAGCGCGATGCAAAAGGAAAACAACTATATTATGAACTTGTTGAGAGTGTAAGGTCGGTCGCCTGCGCGGGTTCCCGAAACTATGGATCCTTTTTTTATGGGGTCCCTATTTATCAGAACCCTATTATTTCCGGTTCTGTACAAAGGGAATCCCAGTTTGAGACAAGACCTTGGACCCTGAACCCCGCAACCTCAAGTCCAGACTTTGCAGTCTCGTTCCGTAGGTCCCAGAACTCTTGTTGCCTGAAATTCTTGCACCCTCCACCCATCATCAGCTGAGACCGTGAGGGGCGCCTTCCTCCTTAACCCATTCGAACACACAGACGTGGTTCTAGGGTTTCGCTTGGGGCTCCATGTTCGTTTATGGAGGGGTGCAGTTTTCGGACAAATTCACGCAATGCAAACAAGAAACACACGCTCTAAAGTCTCGGATTGGGCTCATGCACACCCAGTGGTCCTGCCGGAACACATGGGCCATCTTGTCCAAGGTGTCCGAACTTCCCACCTGAAATAGACTGAGGTGGCTAGCTAGTGGACTATAATACACGAAATGAGGCTGCGTGAGTGACTGCGGTAGCCAAGGTCAAGGTGTTTACGTCTGCGTCAATACCCATGTCTTGCTTGACTTAACTTGGACTGCAGGGTGGTTCCAGGTCTACGGCTTATGGTTTAGGATTTCAGTATTTTGTTCTTGCATCCTGTTCTGAGATCGTCCTTGCCTATTCGAAGGCATCTTGGCATGATTAGCAACTACTTCTAGCAATCCCTTTGGCCCTGCACGGTATGTCGTACTACCACGTTCTGAGGGAACCTTGGGGTGCTTGTGGTTTGGTTGCCCGCGCACATGTGGCTCGCACGTCGCTTCTCGTAGGCAATTAACCCCCATAGACCACCAAGCTACGAGTCAAGGCCCAACATGTCATGAAATTCGTGGAACAAACGTACAAGTGCCCACCAGGCAGATTTCAGGCATCCTTGTAGCAGGGGATTCCAAACTCCACACATTTTGGCGGTGGGTAAGGCATCAAGAATGGAACATAAAGATTTTACCCAATGATGGTTCGGGATTCGGTACGGACCACTATGAAGGAAAATTGGGGGGGCGGGGGGGACTTTGTAGCCGGAAGAAGTATCGAAGCTAAACCGTGAAGGCAACGACCAACAGTTCGGCAAACCCTGCAAAGGAAGTAACATTCTATAAAACCCTACCGCCGGTTGAGATCTGGTGCATTCAGCCCTGATGCATAGCAGGGAATGGATCCGCAGACAGTGCCTCCATCATATTCTATCACCCATTTCCCCACTTCCCTACTAAGCACCAGGTAGGCTACCCTATGTCGCCTTGAGGAAAATCAGCTGAATGCCCTGCTTTTGGAACTCGGCAAGAATGGCATCCATCGGCCCCCACTGCCTGGTTAATGGCAATACTCAGAAGGACACTATGCGTGTCGGCGGCAGTATGAAGACTGCTGATGACTGCTGCGAGTGGTAGCAGGAGAAGCAATGGATCACTGCTCATGGCTGTAGGTCTACAAACCCTGATAATAAGGGTAACAAGAAAACATCCACTAAAACCATCAGCGTAACAAGTCGTGGCAAAGCCCACTGCCTCGGGTCGTCGCCATAGAGGTCGTAGGATTTCGTGGCCATCTGGATGCAGCCAGCATTCACGTAATTCAAGTCTCGAGTAGCTCTGCAGCCATTTGGGGGCTATGGGCTGGAAAAGGGAGAGCGGTTAGCTTCTACAATCTACACCCTCCACTCACTTGAAGCCGATAAAATCAGAGCTCCTAACACTTCTTCGAACATCAGCCATCCAAACCCACCCAACCCCCTAAAGTGAACACATGGGCTGCTGTACTTGCCACACAGACCCCAGCCCGGACTGCCCGGACTACTATCCAAGACTCCCAAGCGACAATATGAAAGCTCCTAGCATTTCTTCTTACATCAGGCATCTACACCCTCCACCCTCTTAAAACCAAAAATCAGAGCCAGAAAGCTCCTAACACTTCTTCAAACAGCCATCCACACCCCCCCCCACCCCCTCAAAGCGAACACAAGGGAGTCCAGGCCAAATCCGGGGGGTCCGGGCCAAAGTCTGGGCCGTCCAGGCCAATGTCCGTGGCCGTCCGGGTTGGGGGGACCAAAATCGGCCTTTTTTGGGAGGGACCAAAATGACCCCCCTTCCGACATCATCTTTAGTCTAGTCAGCACAAACTTCCACCCTAAACATCAAACTCTCAAACTACTTATCAACCCCCTAGCTCAACATGAAACCCCCCCAAAAAGGCGGCCTGACAAGACCAAATGACAAGTGCCCTTGCAAGAAAGGCCACTTGCTTGCGCGTTCCGAGATTTTACTATTCCTGAAGAAGGCATATGCTGGACACCAACTATCTCCTAATATCTCAAGATAACGCAAAGGGCAACCCATTATGAGAAACTCTGGTTGGGGTGTCCAATATACACTCTACACCACTACAACCCCCAGAAACAGAGTCCCCAAACAAAACCCTATCTGGGGACGGAATTTCTTCCGCTAGCATCCTGCGATGAGCTCCTGAAATGAGGCTGTTAGTCAAGAGCATGAATCAGCCAAAGAGATCCTCAAGAATGAAAACCTGAACTTCTTGGAGCTAGGTGTTCTTAGTCAACCTTGAATTTACAGAACTAAGTCTTTGCTCGGGATAGCGTTGTCCGGAGAGCCCGATGCGCATTGCTTAGATCCAGCCGTTCTTACTGTTTAGAATCGTATGAGCAGAGAAAAAATGCTCCAATTTGAAGATGCCTGTGGGAGCAGTGAACTGTGTGCTTTCAGCTGTACTTGAGGTCACAAACATAAGAACATGTAACCGAACCCACAGCGCGAAACCGTGAACTCTGCATTCAAATTCCTTTAGGTTACGGTTGTAAGGAAACCGTATCAGTTATGCAATGTATCTGCGTTCAGTATTCTAAGGCTGAACCCGACATGAACCCCATATAATCATACCTAACGCCTCTCTGGCCTGTATATTCTACATCTGACTTTGGTAGCTTCATGTCAACTTCTTAACAGTCCCCACCTCCTTGGCCAGCTCGTCGCGCTTCGCCTCGGGGATGTCCTTGCATGCAGCGATGGCCTCGTCGATCGCGCGGGCATCGGTCGACACCTCCACCAGAAACACTTTACTGGGTGGCACGTCAAAGGCAATTGGTTCTGGAAATCAATTTTGGACCCTTTTTAGTGTTGGGACTCCCTGAACAAGAGCCCCTCAAAACCTTCCGCGGTTCTGAGGGCCCTGGAGATTGATTTAAAAAGGATGGACTCGGCCCCAAAACTTGCAGGGGTCCAAGGCTGACAGATTAAACAGGGCCTCATGACAATGGGCATTGTTGAGGATCCATCGGCCTTGCGGGGCTCCCCCAAGCTGCACATATGGCAATCATGCCTCCATGGGGTTCTAGAGAGCCATTGCAAGAACTTGGAATCACCGATTTACGGTCTCAACCTCACAAGCCTCAGGCAAACAACTTCGCCGCCAGGCCTTCCAACGTACTGCTACGACCCCTAGTACCATCAACCTTGGGTATTATGGTACTATAAGTATACTACTGCAATACAGGAGCTTTAGTATCAACAGCGGGACCTACCTCTACAACCCTTAACCCCATGCCCTACACTCCTAAAAACCAGCCTCGAATGTAGAATGGAATCGCCAGCCATGGTTTGGAGTCTGGCTCAGCCTGGACTGGCTGCAGAAGCTACAAAAGGCGTTGAGGGGTTGAGGGCCTAGGATGTACGCTTGATGATCAACAGTCATCTTCAACATTGCCCCAGCGGCAGGTAGAGGACCTTCGATGTCGAGGACCAGGTGAGGTTCAGGGCAGCCTCGAGGCCCGTGAGCACGTCCTCACATTGATCGCCCCCGCCCTCGGCCTTGAGCGTGCCTAGGGCATGGACGAGACAATGCCAACCTACCCTCCCCAAAACTTAATATGCAACACGCGCGGGGTGTCCATGTACATTGTACATAGGCTGCTGCCCTTTGTGGAACGGGGTTCCCTGTTGCTTTGGGGACGGGTTTTGCTTGTGTGCCCTTGACACATCACAGTCCCAGGCAAGAAGACTTCAGCCTCGCGGACAATGGGGTTGGTGGTTTAGGGTTTGGGTTTGGGGTTTGCGCTTTGGGGTTGGGGTTTTGCGGCCTATATGGGGTGCGTAAGTGCAGGCGCGTACCCCCTTTGTAATGGCGGCACATCAGCTCTAGTGTAAGGGCGCCCACCTGATAACCAGCCCCGTCGGAAGTCTGCTCTACCCCAAATAGATGCGTCTCAAGAGCACTCCCTCTGCCTGGGGGCCCGCACAGTGCATCAGGATGTTTAGAGACCACTAAGCCAAGACGCACAAGTCACATGACAATCATGAAATTCAAGGCCTCGAACATAAGCCTTCTGTCTCACAGTGCGAGTCAAATCTGTCAAAACCCAGCAGACATGCGCCCAAAGCATTTATAATCTAGTGAAGAATCCCTCATACAGTGGATGGAAGACCACCCAAACCCTGCACCCTAAATTGCGGCAACCTCGACCAGACCAATTGAGCCCTGGGTTAAGGGTTTAAGGTCTAAGGTTAAGGGTTCGGGTAGACCCCATATGCAAACAGTAACCCCGCTGTCCAAGGTGCGGAGAAATGCCTTGACTTTGCCCACTTCGCTGGTGAAAGGATGGACCACGGGATGTCCCTCCTCCCCGTAATCCTCACAGGTATGGATTGGTTAGGAAAGACTCCAGTTTGAGGCAGGGTGCCCCATACTTCAGCTTCAAGGGTTGAAAGTGTAGGGTTTTCAGCTTGCCTTGAACCCTACACTCCTACACCCCTCAGCCTCTTAGCTGCGAGGGGTTTGCACCTCCACCTATTCTGCTATCATGTTGATGCAACGTCAAAGCCTAGATTGCCTGGGCCGCTGTTGAGGGAGATTTAAAACAAGTTGACAGAATGTGGATGTATAGTAAATAGTAAAATTTGATAGTAACAGTATGTAATAGTAACATAAACTTTGATCGGGATCCTCTACAGTGATCCAGTCGTATGCAACATTCGGCGTCAAAGGCTAGATTCTTGTCTACTCCCGGGACATTAGCACTGGCCAGACAAACTCGCACAATAAATCAGAATTCATGCAAGCCACCCGCAAAAGCAGCTCGCGATTCACCTTCTCCAACATCTACAACTTAACGGAATCAAGTAGCGTAGACCTCCTGAAATAATCCTCACGCCCTAAACCCGGACAGTTTGGAAGTAGCCAGCATTCCTACTAGAGATCACAGTCAAAATCTCTGACTGCAATCACCAGAACCATTCGCTGCTGCCTTTCTCGGGTTACGCCCCATATGAAAATGAACATTCCTGATGTATGCCACCTTGACAGTGGATGTGACAGGGGACCATTCAGTACGGGATGTGGCTAGTCCTTGTAGCCAACGAAGGCAACGCGAACGTGGGCACCCTGCCCCAAGCGCTTGATGGTGTCCTTGAGCCATTCTAAGGCCCTAGCTGGCTCTTTACAAGCATATCATTCAACTCGCAACTTCATATTGCTCAATGGATTCTAATATAACACAAGCTGAATTTCACATCAAATAATGACCCAGCTAGTGCCAGCTAGTATGACCAGGGATTTCTCGGAAACTCTCCAGAGTTTCCGCCCTCATCACGGAGCAAGATTTGTGGTTTAGGATTTAGGTTTAGATTCCACAGATAATTAGAACCTACTTTTAAGTCTACGTATGACCCAATCTTACCCACATTACGGCAGTGACGGGGCTCATAATTGCGTTAGGAATACAGTTAGAGATACATGTTCCACTGTTCGAGATGCGCCAATGCCAAACCCAGGTCTTTATGCAATAATGACCTCCAAAGTATCCCAAAGACTCGGAATCCACCACTCTTCCATACTCCACAGTGAAGAAAACCCTAAGCCAGGGATCCCAAGCCCCAATTCTAATAAATAGTCGTACCGGACCGGAGAAGCTGATATTTCATAGTCATAGTCATATTTCACCATCAGTGTGAGTAAGAAAACAGGAACCCTTTTGAAATCTTGTCCATGACGATCTCTTCCATCTTCTCGGCTGCAGTCTTCAGCCACCATTGCATCGATGCCGTCGTGTCAAAGACAAAGCAAACATCCACCGTCTTCCTTGAGGCTACGCGGTTTACAGGACAGCCAGCCCATCCCACGTATGGCTTCAGGCAAATGTTCAGGCAAATGTTCGTGGTTGAAACCTATCAGCTGGAAAGTTCTAAACAAGTTAAGCAGGTCTCAGCTCCAAAACATCTCCTGGTACGCCCAGTAAAGCAAGCACACGGCAGTCACATGGGGTTTTCTCAAAAAGGTATGCTCAGCCAACACCCCTACGCCTAAACTCTACATATAGACCTTCCCCGAAACAGCGGCTGCTTCTTGGCGCGCTTGGCGGCAAGCCCAAGGCTAGACCTAAGCAGCCGGGGTCTCTCACAATGTGGCTAGTGTAGGGGCCTAATTAATTAGTGCTTATGGCTTAAGGTTCAGGGCTTTGCCACTTGCATGGCTTGGACAGGAGAGGTTTACGGGCTTAGGGCTAAAACATGCTAAACGAGTGGATAAGAAAATGAAAAAGAATATGGACTGTGAAGCCCACTGAAAACTTGGATTATGCTGCGGTTCTAGGATTGTAGGGGCATGAATGCTCTTGCTTGAGGTCCATTTTAGGCCCCTACAATACCCTTCCGAAAGCTGTAGGGAAATACAAAATCTCTGGATGAGGGTTTGGCGGTTCAACCAAAGGGGCTTATGCTTAATGACTGGGGTTTGGGATGTTTCTCAGCAAAGAGTGGACAAGAAGGAGACTATGTGGGTGCCCCTGCAGGACTATCCAGGGGCTTATTAATTTTGCTGGGGCTTACTAATTCCCGGTGGCGTGCTAATTATCTTAAGCGACTATACCGCAAAACACTACTACTGCAATCCAAAATGGCCACTACGAGGGACTGCAGGATATAGCCTGACTTATAGCTTGATGGTGCTCCTCCCGCAACGTCTTAGGCAGAGGAGCGGCTGCGGCTAGTGTCCAATATGACTTGGGTCCTGCCCCCACCCTTTAACAAGCTATCATAGGGGAAGGGTCTCAGAAAATTATATACAACTCTGATCCAATTGTTATCCAACTGTGAATGGGTGGGGGCAGTACCCAACATATGACCCTCAACTTCAACGCGTCCGACTCAGCCTAGGTTCCTCGTATAGACCCTGCACAAACCCTGACCATTGTCCTGCCTACCCACAGCCACAACCCAACAGGCCGCCTTGTTCCCCTCCCACCTAGCTTCAACTGGCAACACAAGGCCAAGTGGTGACCTGATTGCTCAGAAGCCTACCTACACACCATATGTCGCAACTCCTCCAGTGCTATGATGAAGTACCACGATGTACTCCCAACAGGGCACTGCCTGGTTCTGCCAGCCACGCCTCCAACCTTTATCCGGTGCCCCTCCATGTTGGGCCTCATTTGTGTTAAGCCCTATAATCCCAGTTTCCATGTCATTTTCCATGTTCTTGTCAACTTGATTCACCAATATGGGAGTTACTATCCCTAAGCCCTAAACCCTAGACTCGACACCCCAAACCCTAAACCCGTCATTGGGGAACTCCCCATGTTGCCAAGGACTGGACTCAAGCTTCACCCTGCCACTGCCACGCTGCATAAGCCATCCCCTTTCCTGACACGCCAGGAGACACGGGTACATGGAGAATCGAATGCAACATGACATGGAAGCTGAGGTTCATGGGAATACGGACGGGTTAGGGCCTAGGGTCAAGGTCTTAGGGTGCAGGGTTGAGGTTTTGGGCTTTGAGTTCAAAACTTGGGGCGTACGTTCCCGGTCTAGGAGTTGTATCAAGGTTGCTTGGCAACTAAAGCAGTTTAAGGTAGCGATTTGCCTTGCAGTCCGGCGTGGCCAAATCCCGGTCCACGACAATGAGTTTCTCAAACAATCCCTACATTGTCCATGAAAAGTAACATCCACATAGTCCTCCTACATCCCTACGGGCCCTTTGAGAAGCCTTTTTTTGTCTTTTGCAGCGGAAGGGTGTTTGAGGACAAAGGTTTTGAGAATTTACCGGTTTAGGGATTGAATGTTGGAGCTCTTTTTGCCTCTGTGCTGTCTGTCAGGATTTTTGCTTTGCAGCTGACAGGCATGGTACTTTCGTCGGCCGGTCGGAGAGATTGCTGAGACATGTGACTGTCAAGGCAATTCTTAAACAGGCTCAAGTCATTGCCCGCTGAATGAAACGCTCGAGTCAAGTCTCTTAGCTACGCATCTGCTATGTTGGCGGCGCTAGTGCAACAAGCGAATTACAATTTGAGCCTCGCTCGGCATGGGCTTCTAATGACTCTTGTATAGGCATCCGGGATGCAAGCGGGTAGAAGAGACGAAATACATCCAAAAGCCAGGATGCATCACGCCCGCTCAAAATTTCAGCTGGGGCGAGTCCCTGAACTTATTGAACCGATGAATGCCATGACTTTTTGAAGCCCCCGTAACATCCCCTGTTGTGCGTATAGAGCTGATGCCTGTCCCTTTTCTGGCTTGGGGTGCAGCACCTCCGCTTCTTAACGTCTTCAAATGAAGTATACACCCAAAACAATATACGCCCAAGACATGTGGTGTTTCTGAAAAGGCCCGAAATGGAGCCATATTTCTGAGAAGCGCAAACACGGAGATTTTCGAAGAAAACTCCATTCAGAAATTCCGAAGTTCCGCAACAACTTCTCAGTACATGTACCCTGACAACAGCTAAGTCTATATAGACTATAGAACGAATGCCACACAAGACCTCATCAGACTCTGCGTGTGCCTCCTTTGCCTTTTTGAACTTGGCTTGCTGCTGCTCGATCGTCCTTGGAAGCTTGATTTTGGTCACACAGCGTGCCCTTCGTGGCCCAAGTGAATCGACAAATCCTCCGCCCAGAACATCTCCAAATCCATGCAAGCACTGAAGATTACTTTGGAAAAGGGCCGAAACCACCTCGAAATGGGGCCAATCAAAATTCGTGCAATAATGAAGTAAGAGGGGTTCTGAGGGCGCGGGAAGGTTAAATTAAGGAAACCACGGAAATCCTTTCAGCATTAAATTTCCCTTACCCAGGTATATAAATCATTCATTCGAATCCTCAAAAAAGGGGCATGGTCATTTCACGTCCCAGCAGCCGTTGGATGTCTGCAGGGTCCGTCATGCGGCACTGGGAGCTACGCACACAATTGCCCAAATACCACTTCAAAGCCAAAAATGCTGACAGGCAGGAAGGGGGTTCCACATGCTACAGCCAGCCCTCCGCTGTCATCCCAGCTGTGACATCAAGCCAACATCAAAAAAATCCTGAGACTGATGATGCCCCAACTATTCCAAGCAGTCGCGTAAAGTGCACCCCTCACCCGACTCTGACACATTGTGCAGGTGCAGCCACAACTCGCACCAGAATGAGGCTGCGCCTGTACGAAAACAAGGTCGGAGATGCATTTCTAGGAGCCCCTGTTCAAGCATGAGCTGTTTTACACGCAGGGTTGCGCGGGGACTGCTTGCCGAAGCATTCCCTGCCATAGCTGCACGTAAGAAACTCAAAAATCAACACGTGGTCGATTGTACTATCACGCACCAGAAAACATGGATCCATGGTTGACGAAAGTTGTTCTGTTTGGTGCTGGAGTGGGCCATGCAAGTTTGAAAAGCAAACGGACAGTTACTTGGTTTTCACTTGCAGCAATCACCCGATCACGTGATCCGCTTGATTGACCTCAGATCTGCTGACGACATTCTGCTGTTCGCAGCACGGCGCATCGTATAAAGATGTGGAAATCCCTTGTTTATTGCCTACGGTGAGTAGGCCTTGTGTTGAATCTGTGCAAAACGAAGTTGTCGACAATGCAGGCTCAACCACCCGATCAAATTCGGTTTAACCTAGACACGCGTTGACGTCATCCACGGTGATGTTATTGATAAATGGCTTGGTTGCCAGCCGTCTGCGTCTGGGGATCAGGTTGCCGATGTGGAATATCACTTGCAAGCAGCTTCGCGAGCTTTTTGGGTAAACAAGTGGGTTTTATGTGACAAACCGATCCGGATTGGTCTTCGCATCGAATATTTCGATGCTGTGGTATCCCCAATGGCGTGTCTTGGTTCAGGCCATCGGAAGGTGTATCAATGTCACATGATGGATGTTGAGTGGCGTCGTTTGTTACACACTCTATGTGGTCCACCGCCTGGACTTGATTGGAGTAGACCTTGGCATGAAATTTTGCATCACTGGAACCTCAGAGTGCGTCAGATCAGTGCAAGTTTCCACATGCAAAGTTGGTCTTGCAAATGTCCTCACCTGCACTGGAATTTTGCCCATTACATTGGACGTCTTCCAGCCAATCGGTGGGTTAGATGTGCGTTGTCATGCTCATTCCCTGGAGCTGACTGACTGACTGGCTAGCGAAATGCCTGGAACAAAGCCTCAACTTGAACGCTTGCCGAATGTTCTATGACATGGCTCAAGTACATTAATTGAGAAGCTGTCGTACGTGCTCCTTCGACCTCATGATACCACATTTTTCTCACATTTTCCGCAAAACCCCGTCATGCCGGCCTGCGGTTTGAAATGACTTCCCCCTTCCGGGTTCCCCCATATCATCAAAAAATTCATGCACCTGTGCATCCTGCAGGCTCTTCCGAAGAATCTCGAATTTGAGAGCTGGGAATGTCTCAAAATGATTTCTACACAATCCAAAGGGGGATCTCCAAGCACGTATTCCTGATCATATAAACCCTATAGCCTCTCTCCCCAGGTTTCTAAACCATCTTCATTTTGAAAACCTCTTGAAAAGGAGCAACAAGCACGGGGTGTTTCATGGCACTCGAGCGCTGCAGGGCATGATGCAGCTGTGGTGCGGTGCCCGGCCGCCTTGACGAGCCCCTCACACTCGACACGCTGGCCTTGCGACGCTGGCAATGGGCGGGGCCTCCGTCCAACGGTTGATGGCTGATACGCTGCCTACTCGGCCTTTTTCCAACACACGCCAACATTTCAGCCCCACGACACCCCAGCACCCCCAGCACCCCGAGGTCGGGCACGGTGATCGCCCAATGCATCCAGCTGCCCCCAACACCGACCGCTCCAGAGCATACGGCAGTGTCTGCTTGTGACAGAAAGAGGGCGTGATATGCCAGATCGAGGTATATCGAGGTCGCGGAAAGGGCTCTCGAGCGCCATTGTATCCAAACGGGCCGCAGCGGAGTGCTGCCAACCGCGTAAACAGTCAACGAACTCGCGGCCATCCCGGGCAGAAACCAGAACTTCCTGCGGCGGGGAGGTGAAGCCTACGCCTTGTAGTTGGGACACCTCATTTTTGCAACCAGGATGCAGGCTAGGGCGTAGCCTTGGTTTCTGTCACGGGGCCAGCCGCCGGAAGGTGACTGAATGGACTGTTGTCAGCAAGCCTTTGGCAGATGATGCCGGATCGAAAAATCAAATTTGCGCGTGGGACTGGGTTCCGGGCACAAAAAGAGCCGGTTTGCCATCGGAAAGATTCACGTGAAACAATAATGTGGAGCTGGTGGTTTTGCCAAAGCACGGCCCTGCAGGCCCGAACCATCATGTGCATCTAGGAAGCCACAAGTTAGAAGTGTACTGGCGGACCCGCGCCATGGCTGTAAACCGCTTGCTGCTGCGCGCCAGAGCCGCAGCCTGTCAGTAACAGTTTTTTCCACCAAGGAACACCTTGTCCAGAGCAGCGCGCAATGCTTAACGCTGCGAACGCCATTTTTCAACCGGCCAGGGACAGACAGCTGCGAGGAAAAGTCCGAGGGAAAAAAAAAACGAATGATCATGAATAATCCCTACCCTACCCCCAGTGTGACACACCCCTTGCAACACCCAACATAACTGTCCCGAAATGCATCATGGAATCTATTTGTATATCCGGGAGGGGTCTTTATCGAGGATGTGGCTCCAGCAAATCCTGCAGAGCCCAAAACTTGATGCCCGGCAAGATATGGCTGAAGGAGTCCACCGGCTTACTTATTGATGTTCTGCTAAGGGGAGGGCCCACTATGGTTTCCATAATAGGGCCCATACAAGTGTATATGGGGATCCATATCCCCGTTCCAGAGTAAGCATGGGTAAGCGCGTGGTTTCAGGCGGGAGTACCCGCAACCCCACAAGAGAGGGCACTTTGCAAATCTGGCACACGTGGGATTGGACTACGGCCGCCTGCACAAACGCGGCGCTGCCCAGAAGATGCCCAAAAGCATCCGTCTGTGCTGTTCTGGCGGGGGCATGCAACGCCCACTCAGGTCGGGTCGTCTCGGTCGCCGACGACTTCGCGCAATCCGGGCGGCTCTTCTCCTGCCGCGTTCCATGCGGAAATGTTGACCAAAGCCAATCCATTTTTGTATGCATCTTGAGCGCCGATTGCAAGACGTGGAGAGCCTGGGCGGTGCGGTCAGGGGTGGTGACATGCGTGTCGTCCGAAAAGGCATGGGAATTTTCCTGGCCTTGGGCAAAGCTGGCAATCGCCACGAAAAGAAATCCATGCACGCCGACAGCGTCAGACCCGGCATCAACAGATCCCCCTGTTCGCCTCCATTTTTACTTGAGTTGCTCTCCGTGTAGCTGCTCGAGGAAATGAGGTTTGCGGGGGATTTCAAGCACTCGGGTTCGTCCGTTTCGCCTGTTCACGGGGGTCGGCGACTGCGGGATTTCGAGCACTCTGTCTGGGTTCGTTTGCCTCGCCCTGTGAAAAGGAGAGCCGAAAGGATTCTAAGCCAAAGGAAAAGTTCGTGCTATGTGACAGCTCTGGCGGTTCGGGCTACGCTCAATCAGGCTACTAGACTTGAATTCGCGGGACTGTCGTCCTGATAGTGGGAGTCATGTTTGGTGAACCAGCGCGACAGCTGGGGAGACCAGCGAGACCTTTTACGAGCTTCCCGGCCACCCGGCGGCTGAATAAAGGAGAGCGACGGCTGGGAAACGTATTTGTTGTGAGCTCACCTGGGCGCAGGGGCAAATGGGTTCAAGCAGGATCGGGCACTAAGGCCAAGCACTTTACTTTTCTTCGGGGTCAACCGAATGGTCACTGGAAAGGCTGGAAAACTAACTTTGATTTTTCTTTGGACTTTAACGCCTGCACGAAGAGTCCTTGGGGGTGCTTTGCTCGTTACCTTCTGCATCAAGAGCTGCCTCTTTGCGATCCTGTTTTGGGGCCGCAATGGCACTCTGCTGTGCCCTGTGTTTCCACCGAGGCCCAGGACGCGGTCCATAGTCGGGCCTCGTCGGAGCACGGCTGCGTCGCTGCGGGCTAGAAACGGCCTAGGGCGGTGCTTTTCGCCGTTAGTCGCACCGCTACGGATACAGCAGGTACGGGGTTGTGGGTGACCCGTCCACCATGAGTTGTCGCGCCATACACAACGAGGTCCAGGCTTGCCGGCAAGACGTGCCACGGTGGTGGAGCGCGCCTGGGTCCGAGTGTCGAGAGAAACGGTAGGGCCGGAAGGCCAGGTCGTGCCACAACAGCGGCTCGCCCACACGACTGCCCTCTGCGTGCAGCCACTGGACCGCAAACGCCCATTTTTGGGCATGCGAGGGTGTGGTTGTCCACTGCCACCGCAACCACGAGTGGGGGCCGAAGAACACCGGTGCCGTGCCCGTCGCTTCGTCCGTGACTTGGTCCGACTGCGGGCCCAGCGCGTGCGGGGCGCGGCGGCGTCGAAGGCGTCGTCGCAATGCCACTTGCATGGCCTGCGGCGGCAAAGTGGTAGCTGCCTCAGCCGGGATGGCAATGAGCCATGTTCCAGCTTGCGGGCCCGCCTTCAAGCGGAGCAGCGTTCGGGCACTCGGCAACAAAGCTGGCAACAACA